ATACCTGAGTTAAATAAAACTATTAGCAATAAGGCACCATTTGAGAAAGATTAAAATGTGGGATACCTGCAAAATGGAATGATAGGGCATAAATCTCGTGTATTGTATAAATTAAAGTACATTTTTGGATTAGCATTATATTTTAAAGTAGAGGAAATATCACAAGATACATCTGAGCCTGACACGTACTGTCTGAAACTCATAAGGTTAAGTTTTCTTTAAATGATGCTTCTCTAACTTTAAGAGGGACAAGTCTCTGCATAATCTGTAGAGACACAATTATTGAATCCACTAATCACTTCATTAGTCCTGAGTTACAGAAAACTTTTCTGTTCCAGCAACTGCTATTAGACACACTGTTCCTGCACAAGATTAAAGTATTCCTGTAGATTCATCTTTATTACAAGCATGCAGGTATTATTGATGCACCAGCGGTAAACCTGAAACTCATGTCCACGATTCCTATCCAAGAGGCTGAGCAGCAGAATATTGGAACTGCAGACCTTAGCACATTTAAAATCAGCTTTGTTTTGACTTGGACTAAACACCAGCAGTCGCTGTCGTCGTGAATGACCAGATATTAGATTAGGAGTCCTAGAGATTGGTGTGAGGTCTAGGAACCCTTCTATAATATTTTTAGTAGCTTAGCCCATGACTCGGAATTACTTCTGCTGTATGGCTTTGGCACTGGACCAAGTTCAAACCCAGAAAAGACTTTTTCCAATATGATCACTTACCCAGACTTTTGGTACAATCTCTTCCCTTACTGATTCTGTCTCTCAGGTTGAAATGGAGAATAGCCACTGAATTCTTTCCGTTGCTTGGACAGTAGACAGGCCGTGCATGTCCAGGCAGCTTGTGCACATGCGCGAGGAGGCATGTAGACTCTGGGATATGTGCTCACGATTTTGTGACCTCATCTCCCCTAAGGACTGCAATTACCTTTTCACTTGTAGCAGCATGGTGAGCACAGGTTGGGGAGATGAAAATATTTCTGAAAACATTTTTCCCTGTTACTAATTTTCAGGAAACAATTACAGGTTTATAGTTGTCATCTCTTCAGAGACTACTGGAGTATTTGGGACAAGCTGTTTCTTCTACAAGATCCCTGGAGGCAGACAGGGTCTCACAGGAGGAGAGCAGGAAATGCTGAGGTCTGACACACCAAGGATGGCGGCGTCTGTGTGTCTCACTGGACGCCCTGCCTCATTGAGTTCTCCTACCCAGACCTGAGATCTTTTGTAATCTTCAAACCACTGAGCTGCATTATCACATAAGTTACGAGCAAAGAAACAGAACGACACAAATAGTTGAGAATAATTGAAAAAGAGGTACGACAAAGGACAAACATGATGCCATCTACATTAGATATCATTGGATTCGTTTATAGCACTCAGTGCTAATTAATATGAACATTTGGTAGGAAGATAGATTTCACCAATATTAATCCTAGAAGTGATTAAACATAGGAGAAAAATCTTTATGGAAGAGAGAAAGTTCCAAAACTATCTCTAACAAAAAAAGCATTAGGATCAGTTATTTCATAGGCAGATTGCATCATCAAATAAGGCAATATCAAATAAGGCAATGCTATATTTAATTCAACATCATTGAATGTTCAACTCAGTCCTGTACACTTTCCTTTGCTGAAATTTCAGTAATGAACAATCCTGTCTTTATAATTAATTAAGCAATGTAAATTATGAGTTGAATTTTATTCTTTAATTTTTTCTACAAACAATATGATCCAGGTTCATTATGCAATCACCCGCAATTTTTATTTATTTATTTATTTATTTATTTATTTATTTTAGTGTTTCTGCATTACTGCCCATTAACCTCTCACAATAGTTTTTATTTTTTGAGACAGAGTCTCACTCTTCTGCCTGGGCTAAAGTGCCGTGGTGTCAGCCTAGCTCACAGCAACCTCAAACTCCTGGACTCAAGCAATCCTCTTGCCTCAGCCTCCCAAGTAGCTGGGACTCTGGGCATGTGCCACCATGCCCAGCTAATTTTTTCTATATATTTTTAGTTGGCCGATTAATTTCTTTCTATTTTTAGTAGAGACAGGGTCTCACTGTTGCTCAGACTGGTTACCTTGAGCGATCCTCCCACCTCGGCCTCCCAGAGTGCTAGGATTACAGGCGTGAGCCACCGCACCCAACCTCCCAATTTTAAAATTAGTAGTTAGAATCATAGTGGTGGAAAATTCACATGACGCACACACACATATACTACATAAACTCATTTATACATGGATGCAAACACATGTGCACACAGACACACACACTCATATATATTTATTCAGCCACAAACGCAATTTCTGTTGCACACTCACATTCATGCATACACTTGCCATGTACAGATAAACACTCATAATGATACACACTCACACAATATCACAATTACGCTCTTTCATAAATTCACCCTCATACAGTCCACATGCATGCGTGTATCTCAATAATATGTTCTTATACAGAAGCAAAACTATATCTCCAGACTTCTGGATGCTCGATTAACTGGGCATTTCCACATTCTATCATCCTTCTAACCCCGAAAGAACCTGCAAAGGCAACATGTATAGTGTTCAGCACTTGAAAAGTACCGCGAGCACCGCCTCCTGTCTGGATACCTCTGGCGGGAAAGTTGGAGTGTTTGGGAGAACCACAGTGTACGGGGGAGGTGTGTGGGAGATAGAACAGAATAGAAAAGAGGCACGGGAGAAAGGGACATAAAAAATGTGGTGGTGCAGAGAGCCTGGGCGTCATGGGGTGTGGAGAGTGCAGGGAAGGGAGAGGGCAGAGGGATAGAAAGTAAAGGATATTAAATGTTGCTTAGGGAATAAAGAGCAATACCCCTTTAAGAATGCAAGGAGACAAAGGAAGTTAAGATATGGGGCATTTTCGGATATGGGGTGATAAGAGTAGCAGAGGGTCACGGGAACAACAGTGCTCGTGAGGACGGGGTTAGTGGACCAAAGTGGGTACAGGTCAGTAGAGGGGAGGGGTTAACATACCGTGTGGAAGGAAGGGGAATACACATGGGGTGGGCCAATCTTGTAGAATAACGATGGAGCGTAGACAGACAGAGTTTGGGACAAGGAGCTGGAGCCTGGGGGGGATCATGGGCACGCAGGGAGGCAAAACGGGCAGAGGACAATGAGGGAGGTGTGGAGGGTGGTGGGCGTAAGTGAGCTGCAGGGCCCACAAGGAAGGGTCAGGATTGTAGGGTTGGGGGTCATGGGTCCAGGGTGTGTGTTGGTTTTATAGAGATGAGAATGCCGGTGAGAGCTGGGCATTTTCTGGGTTGAGCCATAGAAAACCCGGGGGAAGAGCTGAGATACCGGGATTGGAAGTGTATATAGGTGAGAGGAAGGACAGCACAGCTGATAGAGCTTGTAGGGGCGACTGAAGGTGGGGAGGGTCTGACTGAGGCTCCAGGACCAAGGGCACTGAGGGAAGGGTGTCACAGATGTCATGGGAGGGGGCCCAGGAGAACTATGGAACCGTTGGATGGAGGTCCGAGGGAGGGCGTAGATTTAGTGGCTGTCTAGAGGTCACACAGAGGAGGGGTGAAGGGTGAAGCAGGGGAAAATAGAAGTGGGGTAAAAGGAAGGATTAGGCAAGGAGTGATGAAGGTGGCAAAAGGCATCCGGGGGCCGTTAGTAGATTCCCTCATTCATTCATCCCCTCGCTGATGGTCACATCACAACAGCCTTACATTCTAATGTCACCTCAAGAGGCAAAAGCCTTGTTCCTATAAAGTGCCCCCAAAGCCCCCTTAACTTGAGTATACAGTGGAGGACAGCAGCCGCAACTTTAGGTGAACAACACTCAACAGCAGTTGCTCTTTTCTCTGGGTTTCCCCGTGCAGGAGTCTCCACAGCCAGGGTTAGCGGAGAGGCTGCTGACGGGGTCCGGTACTCTGCTCCAAAGAGGCGCCAGCTCATGCATTTGGATGGTCTCCTTCTGTGTGAAGAACGTTCATGGAACAAAGACTATTACTCGCCAAGACTGAGGTGATAAATATTCCTTTATTTTTGTGATATTTGTAAAATATAACACTTTATTTTAAGCTTTCTAAGCTATTATTGATATAAGTTTACATTTGTAAGCTTTACCATAAAAAATAAAATGTTTAAGATTTTACTCTCCTTTGCTTTTTATTTATATGAATCCGTCACCAGAGATAACCAGTGGTAATAGTTCTGTAAATATAGAGACAATGTTTAAAACTAACTTTTTTATTGCCACAAATGTGCGGGTCTCATGACACCACGGGCAGATTCACAACCCTGGGGGTAACATTACCTGGGTGGTTTTGCTATTTTACAGGTAAAGAGGATTTTGCCATTGCTTAGGTTACTGATCATCTTATTTTAAGATTGAGAGGTTGTCCTGGATTATCTGGAGGAGTTGAAGGAACTACAGCAGCTTATCAGAAAGACATGGCAGAAGATGCTATAGGAGAAGAAAAGCAGGATTGGAGGAAGCAAGGGACTTAGCACACCACTGCCGGCTTTGAAGATGGAGAACAGGTGGTGGTGCATGCCCGTAGTCCCAGCTACTCGGGAGGCTGAGGCAGGAGGATTGCTTGAGCCCAGAGGTCTGAGGTTGCTGTGAGCTAGGCCACGGCACTCTAGCCTGGGAAACAGAGCAAGACTCCGACTCAAAAAAAAAAAAAAGGTAAGTGTAAGAAGAAAATAAATCCTGTCAAAATCTAAAATATCCTGAATGTGAATTCTTCCCCAGAATGTCAACAGTAGATCCCAGCCTGACTGAAAGCTTGATTTTAGCTTGTGACACCCTAATCGGAGTATGCAGGCGAACCCCAAAGATTTCAAATATAAGCAATGAAAGAAAATAAATGGGCGTTTTGTTAAACTGCTAAGTTTGTGGTAAGTTGTTCTGTTAAATAGAAAAATAATACAGATAGAAATAAATTTAATAGTAAAATATTTAAACAATACAGTAAAGTCATTCTTCATTAATTTCATTAATTTCCCATGATACTACACACACACACACACACACACACACACCATATTCTCTTTTTGGCTTGTATTTCAGAAGTAGAGAAGTAGAAGTTCTCAAATTAGAAAAGCATGGCTTTTCCCAAGGAATAGAGGACTTAGCATGTGACCTGGGACTCCACATTTGCCTGAGAAAGAAACATTCCCTTCGCTTCTTCTTCTGTGGGCCTCTCTCCCATTATTTAGCTGAGTCACATCTGCATTTTGTGAGTATGGCATCATCACACCCTTTCTCGTATGGCTTGAATTGTGTATCCCCCTCAAATGTCATATATTGCAGTCTTGACCCCCAGTACATTAAGATATGGCCTTATTTGGAAATAGAGTCATTGAAGAAGCAATTAGTTAGGGTAAGATGAGGTCACACTGGAGTAGGTTGGGCCCCTAACCCAATATGGCTGGTGTCCTTATGAAAAGGGGAAATTCTGGAGACAAACTGGACTGCACTGTACTTCCGTAGGAAAGCGGCCCACAGAGACACTCACTCGTGCTCTCCCAACTGGGTATTCACCGTGGCCTTTAGCCGGTCCAGCCTGGACGGTGCCTGCACTTCTTCCTAGAACCTGGATTTTCCTTTTGCTTTTCTGTTGAACAGCTATGCTCCTTCTTGGATAATATGTTCAAGGTGTGATCATTTAACACTATTTTGGTTCTTATAAGTGGATGAGGCACACTGGAAATGCCTTAAGTCAGCCATCATGAGGAAGAAACCAATGACTTCCAATGTCAATTGTTAACATCATGTTCTTCCTTTCACTCTTGCCTCATTAGACATCCTTCTCTGGTACTGTTTGGTTCTGTTTTTAGGCTGAATACTTAAAATGGTGCAACTCAGGGACCCCAAAATGAAAACTTAACTTGACTTTGGGTGGAAGAACTCAGGGACGCTGGAATCTAGCGAGACACAAAACCCTCGCAAGGACCTCGAGGCCCAGAGCTCAATAGTACTTACGCGTGAGAGCCGGTGTGCCTCGGGCATCCTGAAAAAGTAATAGCCTCTCTAACACTCCAACAGTCTCTTTGGAGATACTCACGAGAAGCTTGTAATTGGTTTTCATAATTAGCAACTGGAAAAAAGTTTTTCTGGAAATGTTCTCAGTTCCCCAAGCCTGCACTGTCATTCCCACTGCAGGTGAAATGATAATTGCAGTTCTGAGGGGAGGTGAGATCACAGAGTCACCAACCTTTATCTCAGACTCCGACTGCCTCCCCTTCACCGTGTATTGCTGTCTTGACCTCCACACTGAGCCCACCACGCGCAGACCGAAGAACTCCAGTAAGTGTTTTGTATTTCATTGCAAAGTCTTAAGTAAAGAAAGAAAGTCCAAGTGCTCATGCCTGGAAACGGGATTCTTCAGGGGTAGTAAAAGGTCCACTGGCAAAGCTAGACAACAAGAAGGAATAAGTTCTAAGCTATGAGCCGAGTTCACAAAAAGAGATGGGTCCTAGACCCTGTGTCAATCTCTGATGACTCCTAGTGTAATTTAATAAAACTCTAGCTGAGGATGATTGGTGGTGAATAATTCAAATGCTAATAAAAATCTGATACTCATTTTGAAGGTGCTTAAGGATTGTAGTAATGAAATGAATTGGCTGTTCACATTACCTTACACAAATCACAGAGTGAATGCTCGGTATTATAAATGTGTTTATAATGCCTACATAATTATAATAACTATTAGGATGGAACTATAAGAATTACCAAATCCTATGCAGAGACCATGATTTGAGTTTGCTTCTGGAGTAAAATATTTTTATTTAAATACAGGTTTATGATCCACTTAATGGAGCTAGTAATTGTTGTCTCTATGTAACGTCTGTCTGTGGTCTGATGACTGTGGTAAGATTGAGTTTTCTCTGAAGTTAGGAACACATTGGAGGGAAAGGTAATGTTATAATTATGAATATTAGAAAGAAGTTATAAGGACCAAATGTGTTATTTTGTGTTATTTCCTCTGGTTTCATAATATACTAACATCAACCCCAAGCTCACAATACATTTTCCTGTTATTTGATTATATAAATTATTCAAGGTTTCATATTTTCCAGATTCCATTTATGTTAGTCTCTTGCATTTTAATATTTTTCATAAATCTCACTTCATTACTAGCAGTTGCACCTAACCTAGTTATTAGTAACAGATAAGCATTTAGCTTGAAATTAACAATAACTTACCTTCTGTGCTTACTATTTTATCACAGAAAGTGTTTCACGTTTCATAGGTCAGGGACAAAGTAATATGGCTCGATAATTTCTTTGATAGACGCCACTATATTTTTGTTCCTACAATGACAGCAAATGAATCCTACCCGGCATGGGTGGGGACCCTGCAGCCTTCCGATTTCAAGATTGCTTTTTTATAAGCGCCAAAGCAGGCAAGAAAACTTTATCTTTCTCTGTTGCACCCCATTTAATAAAAGAATTTGTTCTGTAAAATTTTGATTCAGTCAAAAGGCCACACTTGAGGACTTAGAAGGCCACATGTGGGCTCAGGGCCACAGGTTCCCCACCCCTATGTGGGTGCACTACATTTTACTAAGATCTCTGAAGCTTTATTCATACTTAATATTGGTCTATAGAATAAAATTTTACATCAAAATAGAAAATTCTTGCTACCAAAATTATATTATAAAATACAAAAAACATAAAATGGCAAGTTATAAAAACAAAATAAGTATAGGTATAGATTATTTGAAAACATACCTGTTATTTGTTATTGTAGCATAATTCTAAGGGTACTGTCTTTGTATCCAGCCCAAGTTTAAGTCTTCACACTGCCCCTATCCAGAATGTGAATTGAGACAAGATCAATTAACATCTTTGTTTTTATGATCTGCATGTCTTGACAAAAAAATAATACTAGTGTCTACATCATATAATTCTGAAAAATCAAAGAAGGTACCATAAGTAAGGCATTATAGCAGTGATTCATATATTTTAAGACCTTTTTAAAGTTTATACATTCAACTCTAGGAAGTCTCTTAACAGAATAAACCTTAAGTAAATAAATATTTCTTGGTGAGAATACTGGATTTTGTTGATATAAATGTAGCCCTCACTGGATTTCTCCAGGCAGGATCCTCTGGCTCTGCTGGTGTCAGTCAGTGGGAATTGGCAGAATGAGCTCCAGATGTTTGGCAATAGGGATGGTCACATATCTCAGACTATGGTTAGAATCCTGGGCACTTTCCCTCTTCTTTACCATCATCTCTTTCTTTACTGCACTGAATTCAGGTTGATGTCCTTATATTTAATTCTCAAGCACATTAATATGGGTACTTCTTGTGTCCTGAAGGCCATGGAAGCTTTTAGATTGCAGTATTTCCTCAAAGATTTGGGATGCGAATTTGTTTTATACCCTCACAGTGATGGTAGACTATGTCCATAGGCATGATATCACCTCCCTCTGAGTGCGTCCAGTCACGCAACAAGGCCCAAGAACTCCAGGTTGGTCGAACTGAAAATAAAAGCTCACACATATGTATATGGTTGTATAATTGTAGGAAAACAGCACAAAGAAAAAATAAAGGGTTTTTTTTATTTTAAAATTTTTTTAAAATAAAGGATTTAGAATACTGTTCTACTGAGCCTCGTGACAAAATCGCAACTCAAGGTGTGCAGTGTTGTTCTTACTCTGGTGTCTCTGGTGTAGCCACATAATCTGGGGCTGTGGCTACATAAGTTTCATCTTGTGTAGACAATAGCAGTAGGTCAAATTCATTCACAGGGACAATATCTTCCCTCCTTCCCGCTCTTGGGGGAACTATGGATATTTTAAAATTAAAGGAACATACACAAATTACAAGTGCACAGCACAGCTCAGTGGAATTTCTGCAAACAACACACACCTCTGTGTGCAACTCCTAAATGACAAAAAGAGAATGTTGCCAGCACCCCAGTGCCCCATTATGCCTCCTCTAATTCTCCACTCCCAACAGGATAGTTCTGTTGAATGTATTTGTATAAGAGAAATTGTTGGGGCATAGTTTTACATCTATTCTAACATTTAAGAGATTAAGTCATTTTTGCTTGTTTAGATTATATAAATGTAATCATAAAGCAATAATTTTTTAAATTTGTCTTGTTTTTATTTTTTGAGAGAGTCTCACTCTGTTGCCCTGGCTAGAGTGACATGGCGTCAGCCTAGCTCACAGCAACTCCTAGGCTCAAGGGATCCTCCTGCCTCAGCCTCTAGGTAGCTGGGACTACAGGCACGCGCCACGACGCTTGGCTAATTTTTTCTATTTTTAGTTGTTTGGCTAATTTATTTCTATTTATAGTAGAGATGGGGTCTTGCTCTTGCTCAGGCTGGTCTCGACTTCCTGAGCTCAAGCAATCCTCCCGCCTCCGCCTCCCAAAGTGCTAGAATTATAGGCATGAGCCACCGCGCCTGGCCACCAACTTGTCTTTTTTAATTGCATATGATTTTTCTAAATGTATTGTTTGCATTCATTAGCATTGTTGTACAAGACACCCCTGGGTGAATATAAAACAATCAATTGAGTCATTTTAATTTAATATGCATGTGCGTGGTTTTCAGAGTGGTAGTGACTGAGGCTGTCTATTATTTCCATATGATTAGCAAAAGCAGTTTGTTCTGAAAATGTTGCATTATGATTTTTTTCTATTTGCTCTAACTTGTCATTGCTTCCTCCAAGGGAACACCAGCTCATCCTTAATACCGAGTTTCATGAAATAGACTGTTAATCCTCTCCATTTCTGTGTGCATCTCGATTTCCTTGACAGTCCCACAGGAGAACACGTGAAAGTTTCTCTTGCTGTCAAAAATATTTAATGAAGCTTTTTGCTCATAGGAATCATTGTTGTCATAATGTAAAGGAAAATGTGCTGAAGGACACAGTAGCCTTTGGGAATATGGCAATAGGAATAATCTTCTTTACACAGACTGCAATAGGAGTCCTGGGCAATTACTCTCTTCTCTACCATTATGTCTTCCTTTGCCATGCTGAATACAGGTTGAGGTCCAGAGACTTGATTATCAAGAACTTGATTATAGCCAACTCCGTGGTTATTCTTTCTAATGGGGTTCCTCAGACATTGACAGCTTTTAGGTGGAAACATTTCTTCAGTGATTTTGGATGCAAACTTCTTTTGTATGTCCAGAGAGTGGGCAGGGGAGTGTCCATTGGCACCACCTGCCTCTTGAGTGTTTTCCAGGCCATCACGATCAGCCCCAGGAACTCCAGGTGGAAGGATCTGAAAATAAAAACCCCAAAGTACATTGGCTACTCCGTTCTCTTCTGCTGGATCCTGTTCATAGCAGTACATTTTATTTTTCCTGTGAATATACTTGTCAAATGGAGCAGCAAAAACATAACAGAGAAAAGAAATTTTGGCTATTGTTCTACTCTAGGTCGTGAAAAAATTCTAGATGCACTATATATAGCATTACTTGTATTTCCTGAAGTTTTATTTTCTGTGCTCATAATCTTGTCCAGTGGCTCCATGATTTTCATTCTGCACAGGCACAAGCAGCGGGTCCGTCACATTCACAGGACTAATGGGTCCTCTAAATCCTCCCCTGAGTCCAGAGCCACCCAAAGCATCCTTCTCCTGGTGACCACCTTTGTGTCCTTTTACACTCTCTCTTCCATCTTGCATGCTTGTCTTGCTCTATTCCATAACCCCAGTCTGTGGTTGGTGAACACTGCTTCTCTAATTACTGTGTGTTTTCCAACTATCAGCCCCTTTATTCTCATGAATGATGACTCCGCTGTATTCCGACTGTGCTTTCTCTGGCTGAGAAACACAAAATTTCCTGACTTTATTAGAAATATGTAAACTATCTTTTTGTCCAGTGATCAGTTGTTTTTCTCTCATCACCCTTGAAATGTCAATACAGAAACTTGTGAAAGAGCCACATGGCTTTCTAACCCTAATGGGATTGGGGTCTTCAGTGGATTAATTTTGGGACCTGCATGGACATAGCAGAGGTGAGTAAGGTAGATTACTCTCGTCCTGGGGATAATACTCTGTTTATAGTAGACTTAATCTAATGTTTCTTGAGACAAATTAAATGGATTTGGACTTAGCTTTTCTGTCAGATTAATGGGTAGTTGAGCAAGTGATTTACTTATGGGATAATTATCACAGTGAAGAAATGAGCGATGGGTATTGTTGGAAGACAGATGTCTGTGGGTTTCTCATGTATGGACATATCTTATGGACAGACATAGAAGCAGCACTTGTTCTGAACTGTCTTTTCATTGAATGTGTAAAAACAATTCGTTGGAAGATAGGGATAATATCAACCTTTGGAGCAGTAGGCAGAACTGTTTCTTATATATGGAATAATGATAATAGCTCCCTGTAGGGGCAAATGGTGGGAGAGGTTTGCTAGCTGCTGCTTTAAATGATTGAATTTTTCTATACTCAAGGTTCCTGAACTGTCAGTCAAACCCACTGCATGTGCAGCATTCACCAGGGCCTCTCTGCATCATCCCTACCGGAACTGGGTTGGAAAGGGAGAAAGTGAAACTGACGCAATCAGATGTTCATACAGCATGCTGTGAAATAAGTAATAAAGTTCCTTGAATTTTTAGTTTCCTTTTTTCAAAAATGTACTTTATTTTTCAGATTATTTTTAGGTTCACAGAAAACTTACGTGGAATTTATAGTGCTTTCCCCTGTACTCTCTTATTCCACATACTCATATACGCACCGCCTCCCTTCTGCGAAAATCCCACGGGAGAGTGGTACATTTGTTACAATTGATGAACCTATATTGACACATTGTTATCACCCAAACTCATAGTTTTCATTAGAGTTCATTCTTAGTGTTGCCAATGATGTGTATCGTACACAGTAGTTTCACTGCTATAAAGATCCTCTGTGCTCCACCTATTCATCCTTTCCTTTCCTCAACATCTAGAAATCACTGATCTTTTTTACTGTATCCATAGTTTTGCCATTTTAGGAATGTTACATAATTGAAATCACACAGAATGTATCCATTCACCTACTGAAGGACATTTTGGCTGCTTTCAAGTTTTGACAATGATGGATAAACCTCTATAAACATTTGTGTGCAGGTTTTTGTATGGACGTAAGTTTGCAACTCATTTGGGTAAAATACCAGGAACTGCAATAGCTAGTTCATATGGTAAGTATGGTTAGTTTTGGAAAATTCTGCCAGTCTGTCTTCCAATGTGTCTGTACCACTTTGCATATCCAAAAACAATGAGTGAGACTGTCTTTGCTTCACATCCTTGCCAACTTTTGGTGTTGTATCTTGTCTTTTGGTCATTCTGGTACATGTGGAGTTGTATCTCACTGTTTAAATTTACCATTCCCTTGTGAGATTTAATCTTGAGCTTATTTTCATATGCTAATATGACATCTGTATAATTTCTATGGTGAGGTATCTGCTAAGGTATATTTTACATTTTTAATTGGATTGTTCCTTTTTATTGTTGAGTTTTAATATTTCTTTGCATATTTTGGAAAGCATTCCTTTATCATATATGTCTTCTGTAAATATTTTCCTGGGCTTTGTACCTTATCTTCTGATTCTCTTGACAAATTCAATTGTCGAGCAAGAGTTTTCACATTTTTATGAAGCCCAAATTATCATTTGCTTCCTTCAAAGAGCATGCTTGTGGTGTTGTATCTAAAAAGTAATTGTGAAACCCAAGGTTATCTAGATTTTCTACTATGTTAGCTTGAATAAATGTGATAGTTTTGAGTTTTACATTTACATCTATGATCCATTTTGAGTTAAATATTGTGAAAGGTGTAAGTCTGTGCCTAAATTCATTTC